TGAAGCACATTTCAGCACAAGGTAAATAAAAACTTTGTAATGATAAGAAGCATTGGGAAATAGTTGATTAATTATCACTTGAGGTCTTCAAATGGGGGCATTGATGTCACTTGTCAGGGATGTTGTAGCCCCAGATATAAATTAAACAAGCTAATCTCTTTGGAACTTTATGGTTTTGACATTAAGGAATTCTAATTTTATGTGTAGTGGGAGATAAGGCTGGAACTTGAACCTATTAATGACTCTTTGTTGTTGTTCAGCCATTTCAGTTATGTCCAACTCTTCTTGAACCCATTTGGGGTTTTCTTGGCAAAGATTCTGGAGTGGCCTGCCATTTCCTTCTCCAGCTCATTTTGCAGATGAGGAAACGGAGGCAAACAGGGTGAAGTGACTTGCCTAGGGTCACACAGCTAGTAAGTGTCTGAGACTGGATTTGAACTCAGGAAAATGAGTCTTCTTGAGTTCAGGCCCTGCACTCTATCCACTGCACTACCTAGCTGCCAATAATAACCCTAGTAAATTATTGAAACAAGTGTTATCCCCTGTGATTGAAAGGACTTAATTCTGTTGTTGTTTTCCATTTAAAATGTCCTGGGTGAGAGAGCGGAGAAGGAAGACACAGGCCCCTTTTGAAAAGAGATTGTGACAGTGTTTATTTCAGAGGCAGTTTGTAACTAGTGCTGTGTGTCTGTGGGCTAACGCGTTGCTAAGGGGATCCTTTTAATAAGTAAACTTGAGTTTTATATGCCCATCAGTTTAATAGAGTGTACTCAGCCATCAGCTTCTGGCCTGACCAGAGGAGACTTTTTCTACATCATTGAGATGGAAAGAAACCCTTCTGTGCTTGGAAAGAATAGACCTGGGGGCTTTATGCTCTCACTGGCACCACACCATTAAGCAACTGTTTCCTTCTGCTTTGTCCATATGGCAAAGGAATTTTCTTGCAGATCTGAAGACAAATTAGGTAGCCCTTTAGCTCAGAGTCCAAGAAGGGTGGCAGCATGTATAGATAGGCCACGTGGGGTTGTGATTAGAAACTAAAAACACTGGTATCTGAAGAAAGTCTTCTGAAGGAATTGGGATGCTAAATGCGCTCAGCAACTATTCATAATCCCAGGGAATCTGACTTTAAACATGAAGCAAGCTAATTAAAGTCGGAGGATACGATCAGAATTAGACTAAGCTGTAATTGGTAAAAGTTAAAAACTAGCCACAAAAAAAAAAGAGTTAAAGACTAGTGATTGAAATATAACATCGTACCTTAGACTTTAAGAAGTTGGGTATAGGGGGCAGCTAGACGGTGCAGTGGATAGAGTGGATTCAGGAGGATCTGAGTTCAAATCTGGCCTCAGACACATAACACTTACTAGCTGTGTGACCCTGGGCAAGTCACTTAACCCCATTGCCTAACCAAAATAATAAATAGAGAAGTAGTCTGTATATTAGGTTTCTTCTTTTTTTGAGGCAATTAGAGTTAAATGACTTGCCCAGGGTCACACAGCTGGTAAGTGTCAAGTGTTTGGTCTGAGGCCAGATTTGAACTCAGGTCCTCCTGACTTCAGGGCCGGTGCTCTATCCACTGCACCACCTAGCTGCTCCTGTACATTAGGTTTCTTAAACAAGATTATCAAATTCTTACTGTGCATACCCTTTGACCCAGAAATATCACTACTAGGTGTATATGCAGAGATTAAAGAAAAGTGGAAAGGACCTATTTGTACCACATTATTTGTAGCACCTTTTTTTTTTGTAGTGGCAAAGAATTAGAAATTGAGGGGATGTACATCATTTGTAAAATGGCTGAACAAGTTGTGGTATATGATTGTGATGGAATACTGCTGTGCTACAAGAAATCACAAACAGGATGGTTTCAGAAAAACTGGAGAAGATTTATATGAAGTCATGAAGTGAAGTGAACAGAACCAAGAGAACATTGTACACAGTAACAGCAGTGGTATGAAGACAAGCAACTGTAAAAGACTTAGCTACCCTGATCAAGTCAGTCATCCATGACAATTCCAAAGGACTCAGGATAAAAAATGCTCTCCCCCTCCAGAGAGAGAACGGATGAACTCTGTGTGTGGAGTAAAGCCTACTTTTTTCATTTTTTAAAATTGTTTTATTTTGTTTGTTTCCTTTACAATATGGCTGATATGGAAATAAGTTTTAAATAACTTCACTTATATAATCAATATCAAATTGCTTGCCTCCTCAAGGAGGGAGGAAGGGTGGGGAGGGAGAGAAAAAATTTGGAACTCAAAAAAATTTTTAAATGATTTTAAAAAGTATTGTATGTAATCAGAAATAATTAACAACATAAATTTTAAAATAATCTAAAATTTTGGGGAAATAAAATAAATAAAAGTAATGAGTCAAAAAAAAGATTATCGGGTTCTATGTCTAAAAGCTATTTGGAAAAAAAAAAGAGAAAGGTTATCTTCATTCTAAGACACCAATAATGTCAATGGAATAAGTCTAAAGGTTTTTCTAGACTGAGATATCATTACCACTTAAGGTCTGTGTACTATGATTTTAGGCAAGGTAACTAAGAAGGAACAAAAAACTTGCTTCATGACTTGCAAACTGATGAATCAACAGTCACTTATTAAATGCCTACCTCATGCCAGATGCGAGGGATACAAAGACCAAAGACAGATGGCCATCTAGTCCAAACCCCTTCATTTTACATGTAATGCTAAGGCACCCCCTGAGCCCTGCTGCTCTCACTGAGTCAAGTGCCTGAGTTATATAGCGAAATAACAGGTTAGCCTCATAATCTGATGGACAGACTACAAGCCCAGGCTGGTATTAATTCTGTTCTTGGGAGAGTAGTTATGAAACATATGAATGATTCCTGACTGTGCTGACAGACCAACAGACAGATCAGACAGACATGCAGACAGAGAAATAGAGACAGAGATACACACAGAGAAACAGAGACAGAGATATTCTCTAACTACAGGCTGGGGCTTGGACTTGTCTCTTGTGTTGAAAAGATAACGAACTCCTCATGCTCCCACAATGAAAACCAAAGGACACACTGAAATATATATGCCTGGGCTGACTTCAGGATTTTAAAGGGGTAAATCTAATTTTTTTTAAGACAGTTTATAACAGAATAATGGTGTATGCTGAGAAATAGGTGCCAATAAAACAGAGCTTAAGGAGTGGGGAATAGGGATGGTGCAGTTTGTGACTGCTTCTGCTCTCCTTTTGCCCCAGTCCTAAAACCATTCAATACTTCCTTTCCTCAAGAGATGAATGTAAATCCTAGCAGTCTATAGGGATCTAGGCCATTCTGCTACCCTAGAAAATGTGTTACATGGGAATAAGAAAAATGCAGTCCAGAGAGGAAATTACTTGCCCGAGGACACATAAGGAACATAATAAATAGCAGAGCCAAGATATGAACTCAGGTCCTCTGACTCTGTATCCAGGGTTCTATCTTGGGCCACATGGTCAAAATTAACTAGAATTCATATTCTTCCAAATGTCTTTGTAGATTTACATGTCCTTATAAACTAAGACTGCTAGTGTGTTGAACAATATTCTTTGACTATTTCTGGTCATGTTGGAGCTTTGGGGCTGCTTCTGACCGTCTTGTGACTGATTGCTTAAAGAACTTGGAGTTTTAGTATGATGTGCAAAATCCTAAGAGGTCTCCTGGTCCTACCCACACCCAGATAACAGGGCAGGGTGCTGCATATATTTAAAAAAACCCAGCTTCTGTCTTGGGCCTCTTTGGCTGCAACTCTCCAGGTAAAATGTGAATCCAGTGAGGGTCAGGGAAGGACAGCATCCTTCTCTACCCCACTATCACCGCATCTACTGCCAAAGGACCTGCTATGATGCCAAATGTGACTTGTGATTACAGAGTGAAGATGGTTGCAAAATTTTCACTGTTCTATTTTAAAAACTACTAATTGAGATCAACCATGATTCCAGAGTCAACACCTGGCCAAGTCAACAAGCATTCATTAAGCCCAATTAGGACCAATAATGAAGCATGATACCACCTCCCTATCTCCTAATAGAGAGAATACAGGGTCCAGAACAACACATTTAGCTTTTGGCCATGGCCAATACAAGGATTCATTTACCTTACTATGAATATTTGTTACAAGAGATTTGGTTTTCTTTTTCTTTTTTTTTCCAATGGGGAGGGTGAGAAGGTAAGAAAATCAATTTTTCTTCATTGAAAAAATTAAATGTAATTTAAAAAACTCATTGACCATTCAGATATACACTGTACTACTCTTCTCAGCAAGGACTTTGGATGAGGTTCCAGATTTATGGTATTATGATCCAAAGTCAAATAGTTGTAGTTTTTCCAGTCAATGTTCTTCCTTGCTGACCGCTACGAATTCAATGTTCCTTATTCTCACCCAAAGGTATTTTAGGATTTTGGTGGGGCTAGGGTTCATAGTGTGATCCTTGACTCTTGTTTATAAAATCAACATTATCATCAACATCAAACTGACATTTATGGATTACTTTAAAAATTTCAGAGTGCTTTACATATGTTAGGTCATCTGACCATCCAGCTATGAGCTTCTTTAGGACAGGGACTGTCTTTGCCTTACATTATATCCTCAGAGCTCAGCACAACATGTAGCATATAATAGACACTTTATAAATGCTAGATAGGGGGCAGCTAGGTGGCAAAGTGGATAGAGCACTGGCCCTGAAGTCAGGAGGACCTGAGTTCAAATCCAGCCTCAGATCAAACGCTTGACACTTAGTAGCTGTGTGACCCTGGGCAAGTCACTTAATCCCAATTGCCTTTTAAAAAAAAAAAGGAAGGAAGAAAGAAAGAAAGAAAGAAAGAAAGAAAGAAAGAAAGAAAGAAAGAAAGGAAGAAAGGAAGAAAGGAAGAAAGGAAGAAAGGAAGGAAGAAAGAAAGAAAGAAATGCTAGATGGCTCATAAACTGACCTTGCCAACAACCCTGTGAGGTAGGTCTCCCAGGAATTATTAACTCCATTTTACAGATAGTACTCACCAAGGCACCTGCTCCTATGATTCCAGGATACCACCACTCAAAGCATGATATGGGGTTTGGAAACTGCTCATCATTCTGAAATTTGTGAATGGCTAGCGGTATTATGTTGAGAACCACTCCCAACAGCAATAGAACCATCAAGCTAAATCCATTGCAGGATGTCCAGCCTTCACAGCAAGTCATTTTTCCACCTGGGTTCAATCAGAAGCTCAGTCTAGGTCAGTGTGGCACTGTTTAGTAAACACCTGTCTGTCCCCACTTTTTATCCTGTGGTTTCTAGTTAAAGGTTAGCATACATGAAATATGAATTATGGAAAATAGTTTAAAGTCCAGTGGGTTTTTGTGAACTGATCCAACCATTCTGGAAAGCAATTTGGAACTCAGCCCAAAGGGCTGTAAAACTGCACAACCTTTGATCCAGCAATACCACTGCTGGGTCTATATCCCAAAGCCATCCAAAAAAGGGAAAATGACCTATTTGTACAAAAATATTTATAGCAGTTCTTTTTGTGGTGGCTAAGAATTGGAAATCAAAGGGATGCCCATCAATTGGGGAACGGTTAAACAAGCTGTGGAATATGATTATGAGGGAATATTATTGTGCTATAAGAAATAACAAGCAGGATGATTTCAGAAAAACCTGGAAAGACTTACATGAACTTATGCATAGTGAAGTGAACAGAACCAGGAGAATGTTGTACACAATAACAGCAGTATTGGTCGATGAAGAACTAATGATGAAGCATACAATTTGCCTCCAGAGAAAGAACTGATATTGTCTGAATAGATACTAAAAAGCATGCTATTTTTTACTTTCTTTCTTTCTTTTTTTTATTTTGTTTGAATCTTTTTGTACAAAATGACTAATATAGAAATGTTTGACATAATTGCACATGTATAACCTATATCTGATTGCTTACCATCTCAGGGAAGGGGAGGAAGAGAATTTGGAACTCAAAACTTTAAATAAAAATGTTTTTAAAAATTGAAAAAAAATTGAAAAAAAAGCCCAGTGGGCATATGGATTACCCTAGATCAGGATCACAAACAATGATGGGAAGAGAGGATGATTAACAAATGGGAGGGGCAGGAATTAGACCTGGAAAAACATAGTTCCTTTGTAAAGAATGTTAACTTTACAGAGTCATCACGGGATCAAAATGTTGATCCTAGGACACTGTCTTAACTTAGAACTACTCGCGCAACGTAGCTAAGAAACTGAGAGCATCTCCAAAACCTATGGTTTATTTTATTTTTCTATTTATCACCTCCAGCTATTTGATATCCTTAATATCTCTGATCCAAGAGGCTTGCTGGCGAAATGCATTAAAAGTTTCAAAAGACAGGGACAGAAATATCTTCTGGAAGGAAAAGCCTACAAATCTATTAAATTCAAATGGGTTTATATAGTGCCTGCTGTGTGCTCAGCATTGTACTATTAACATAACAAATTAATTCATTTATAACACGGTTAAATGTTTTAGTGTTCCATTTCAGGATTCCCCCCGAGAAAAAAATACACGTGCACTCTCTCTTCCAAGACAACAAAGACTTTTTGACATTATTAAATCAGGCTTAGAGGCTGGTGGAAGAGGGAAATTTTTCCTTTTGCATGCTGAACAGTTATTCTTTATACATTTAAATGTATTGTTTTACATTCCTTGATGCATTATTATATTATTTTTCCCATTCATGGCTAAGTTCATCTATGGAAAGAATTATGTCTTTTTTTTTTTGCCTTTGGACTCCCTCAAAGTCCTATCTGTAAAGTTCAGCACAACACAATAGATACTAATATTAAATACATGCTAGATAAATGGGTGAGAAGAATGCTTAATTAAATACCTTTTCTCAATTATTCCAGCTCTGCCTTGGGACACAAGATGGCTGGGTGACCAAGGATAAGTCACTGAACCTCTCAGTGCCCCAGGAAACTCTCCAAGACCGCTACAGGGAAGGGAGCTTCCACAATGGGAGTCCCCCACAGCAAGAAAATCCTAGGTTGTACCCTACCATCATCCCTAATGTTTCTGTAGATATATGATCTCACTGGTGGGTGGGTGTGGGTGTGTTCTCTGTACTGGCATCAGTAGTGTATGAAGTAAGAGACAACCTGGGTTCAAATGCTGACTCTTTACTATTTTGGGGATCTCTGGTAAGTCAATTAATCTCTCTAGGCCTCTCTTTCCTCATTAAAAATTAGATAATCCCCAAGGTCCCTTTAAAATGTAAATGTGTAATCATGTGTAACCCATCTGTTTCTACTCATCTTGTGTAATTTTTGCCTATTTCCTTCCATAAATCTTCCATAGTGTCATTATTCAATATGCTGGAGGAAGCTTCCTGTGGGTGCTTTGACATTTCATCATTACCAGTGTAACACCTGGGCTGGCCATCTGTCATCTCTCCCCCTCACTCTGTGATGGGCCACCCTCCTTCTAGGGACAAACACGTTCTTGAAAACGTCCTTCAAGCTACTTTTTACGTGCACCTTATCATAGATACAATCATATTGAGATGAACGAGGGGAGCTGAAGGGGCACCTGGGATCTAAAGGATGGAGAGCTGGCCTTGGGTCAGGTCCTATCTCTGACCCATCCTGGCTGTGGGATTCTCAGCGGATCATTTAACCTTCCAGGGCTTTAGGCAACTCAGCACTCACCTGCATTGGTGGAGGAAGATTCCTTCTCTGGGAGTCCCCCATATGACTGCAATAGGAGGTCCAATCCCTATATCTGTTCCTAGGGTCCTCACTATTTAAATGTGCACTGTAGCAAAGCCTTTGATAAAATAATCACTCCCCAGAATTCTCCCTTTAGCATGTTACACTGACCACCCTAGCCATTACTTCTTGAAGGCAGGTACAGTCCATTGTACCCCTCCCCCAGGGTTCTCCAGTCCATTTAAAGGGATTAGGGAAGGAGGCACCTAGGATCTCTGTCAATGGCTCCACCACTAATTATAAAGATGGCTCCCCTTCACCCCAGTTCTGTTTAGCCAACAGTCAGATTAGATTTTACAAAGGAATATTCACTTTAAAAGGTATGATTACAAATACACAAATTTACTGCCCCAACATATGGGGCTTAATACTTCCCCCTGCACTCCCTCAGTCTCTGGAGAGGGGAGGGGATTAGGTTTATCCTATAACTCAGTTCCTATAGAAGACATTCCCAGTTCCAAGTCCAAAATGACCCTTGGGTTTGAATTCCAGGCTTTCTGGCCTCTCTGGGTTTCCCTGCTGGACCGGCTGGCTGCAACATCTTAAATCCTGACTCCAAAGTCACCATGGCTTGAACTCCCAGGTCTGGTGGAAGTTACTGCTGCCATCTGAAACTGAGGACAAATAACCCAGGTCAAAGATCCCAGACCCACTTCTCAGAGCCAAGGTAAAACAGGGTGGTGGTAAGGGAAAGGCACCCACTCTCCAGGTTCACTTCAGGATGAGGCACCTACACTGTGACTCAACTGTGATCTTTACCATCTGGAAGCGTCAGGAAAGTTTTAAAACACAGCCTGGTGACGTAGCCACTCAAGGGAGGCTACTCCTATCCACATTCTAGGCTGTAGGGGTGCCTCCAAGTGAGGTAATGTCCTAACCTAGGACAAGCCCCTTACAAGCAAATTTCAATTTTCATGTTTAGATCTGCTTATAGACATATCTCTGTTTTGTATAAGCTCTGACAGGTCACTTCTTCCCTTGGCATCAGTTTCCCTTTATGTGAAGATAAGATTCCTTCTGGTTGTCATAATCTGTGATTCTCAGATCTGTTTTACTTTGTTATAAGAGATCTCTCACAAAGTGGAAGTAATCTGTAAATATATGTAATATTTTTTAAAACCACATCAGTAAAACTAAAAGTGGAAAAAAAAATAAATAAGGATACAGTGAATGAAAATAGGGATACAGAGAGAAAATTTTCCTTCTATCCTTTTATTTAGCAGAGGGGAGCTGGGTTAAGGTAGAGATACTACAGAGGGATAAATTAGGGTGCCAATGTCAACTAGGTTTTGTGTCACCTAGTACAAACTAGAAAGCATACTATTTTATTCTACTACTGAACACCCCATCCTAATCCATCCCTATTCTTTCTTCTTTTCATAGAAGTTTTTTGGGGTTTTTTTGAGGCAATTGGAGTGAAGTGACTTGCCCAGGGTCACAAGTCTAGTAAGCGTCTGAGGCTGGAATTGAGGGGTCTATCCACTTGCGCAAAAATTGGTATGCCCTGGAATATATCACACTCATATTCAAGTGGTGTAGAAGGGAATTTAACACTTCATTCTTATTAGATTAAATCAAATCCAATGAAACAACCTGAAAATGTCAACAATTTCCTGAGGAAGAATTATCTTTTTTTTATTTAAAATTTTTTTTTAAGTGAGGCAATCGGGGTAAAGTGACTTGCCCAAGGTCACACAGCTAGTACATGTGAAGTGTTGGGTCTGAGGGCGGATTTGAACTCAGGTCCTCCTGACTTCAGGGCCGGTGCCCTATCCACTGCTCCATCTAGCTGCCCCAAGAATTACTTTTTCTTCAACAAAACTAACCTGGTATAGACTTAGTTTCAAAGCCAAGTATTGTTTTATGGGACTCAGTGCATGCAAACTGACATCATCTTTAAGGTTTATTTTTTTTTAAAATCCTATAGCCCTCCTGAAATCTCCTAGGATCTTCTGTCAATCATCAATACTCCTGCCCTCTCCCCAACCTCACCTTTGGCCATATCCTCACCTTCACCTAGGAAAACTGAGAAGCGTTAGAAAATATAGGAAATTTACAGCATGCAACAAAATTAAGTAAGGAACATTTAGCATAGAAGTGAATGGGGAAATGTAAAGAGAAAAATATTAAAAATCATGATTACATTTCACTTATCTCATTATTGTGACATATTCTTCTCAACACCTGGGGCTATACCCCTATCTTTTTTTTCTCCTGTCAATAGTTTGTTAGATTGAGAGATTTTGAGCAGACAAGATTTATTTTGAAATACTGTGATCCTATGAAGCATTTTTAATCAATATTGTCACCCTGTATAATGATACACACAGGGTAGTCAAGTTCCCACAACCAATGGGCTAAGTTTTATGATGCACTGATTATAAATAAGTCAAAGAAATACATTCTGAAGCAGAAGAAAGTCTTACTTTCATGCTTCACATGTGCCCCCATCAGATCCTTC